CCACGACCATTGAGTTGCTAGTCGCGATTCTTGCCCACTCGGCCAATCAAGCGAATTATTTTATTATATTTTACCCATTTATACAAAAAATTCAACTAAAGAAACTTGCAGTGTCTCTTAAGAGAAAATCTTATACTAATCTTTTAAAAACTAGTATACAATAAAAAGGAAGATAAAAAAGAAAAATAATAATAACAAAGTAAGCTAAAAATAAATTGAAAGAAATTAAATTGAATCAATGTCAAAAATTTGGTTAGAATGGGCATGTGTTAAGCGAAAAGGTGTGGGGTTTTATAGTGTTTTAATGTGCTTTTAATATATTATTCTCCTAAGAAATTTGTTGCAATGATGTTTGATGCAAAATGGTCTGGAATGTTCGAACTTTTCCTCATAGATCTATTTTTCAAGATCCTCACAATACAATTATGCCCTTATCAGAAGTAAGCGGTAAAATCTTTGCCTATTTCTACATACATGCGTAACTCGAATTATTCAGTTAATGCATTAATTTCACTTGAAAATGCATTCATAATATTTAGAAAAATTGCCTCAGTCAATATTTTTCATTATTTTTACAAGTTTTTTCTATCTATCAGACGTAATGGCCACACCTGTCGAAAGAAAGATATTGGTTTGGCAGCGATTCAACCGTCGATCCATTTACGTACTTCTTCAGCATTTCGAACCAGCGAACCAGCCAGCCAAACCGTGCTGCATCGCTCTAAACAAGTGGTAATCAGAAGGTGTTATTTCTGGCGAGCACGCTGTGTGCGACAGCATTTCTCATTCGAGCCGCAACAGTGTTTACATGGCAACTTTTGCAACATGTGGCCGAATGTTATCATCCCAGAGGATGATTTTGTGCCTGGTAACCACTATTGCTGGTCTTCTTTGCAACAATACATCATTAAATTTGTTCAATTGACGTCGATGTGCATCACTTTACAGTCATAAATATTCCGCTTCGATGTCGATATGGATGGGTATGCTGGTCTAGTTCATGAACAGGCCGTTCTTTGTCCTTGGCATCAAAACCGGCACTTCTAAATTGACAGTTTGGATGTGATGGCGCAGCATCACCATAAGCTTCTAAAAGTATATGGTGGGCTTCCGAAGTGGATTTCTTCTAATAACACAACAAAAGCAATGAATGTCGAAAATGCCTCTTAAGCGTTCCGTAGATAACTCAACATTACTAAATAGAAAACTATTATTTTGTGTAGAGAAAGGTCAAAATCATCGAGTTTAACCGTTGTTACACTAATAGATTCTGCTAACCAAAATACATGCAAGCACCTAGTAATTATTTTATACGTACTGTTCAGAAATGCGTGGCACAGACAGTCTTCATTGTCATCATAGTTTATGCGCATAATGTCCGCATAGTAAAAATAGTTGTTTCCTATAAGTGAAGGATTTTATCATGGAAGTTTAATCATAAACTCGAATCCACTGTTTATTACTATTATTGTATGTTACTTTATTTATTCTTTACTCATTTATTATTTTAATATCCGGGTATAGTAAGGATTGCTACCACACACCATAGAAAAATACCGATGTATAGGTAATTTAAATTTCCTTCTTATCTCGTTTACTTTTGCGTTTCTCATATTAATATTGCTCTCAATAAAAGCACTAAGTATGATTAAAATTTCAATGAAAAAACAAAACAATTATCTTTCGGTGGAGGTAGGATGAATATAAGCGTTCCGTAAATATCGAAAGGAAAATGGCGATAAAAAGCAAATGCATACATAAATATGTTTATAGATTATGTGCGACTGTGTGTATGATTTCAACTTTTTTCCTTTAATCCGGAAGTATGTGTAGAGTTTCATAATTTATTAAAATATTTCCGTTTTAAAGAGAATACAATTTTTTTGTGCTTCATTTTTACGGATGTAGACCATAGGAAATAATTACATACTGAAAAAAGTAAAGAATACAGTTTTTACTTAAGCAGAAGAAAGAGTATTAATGTTATTAGTTCCTTGGTGACATTTGAAAATACACCGCAGCGACAATTAAGATACGAACGACAAGTTAGGTCTAACAATCGTTATAAGATAATGTACTAAATATCGTAGATTTTAATTTCATTTCTAATGAGTTGAATTACGTTTATCTGAAGCACAGTAGAATTTATTTATCAATGTATATAACGCTTAAATTTAATGATGTCAATCTTTCTTTGCATAAAATAACATTTTTCCATTTAATTAATATCGTTGAGTTGTTCACTATCTAAATCGGCTACTTGGCTACTCTTTACTTTAAATATATTACATAATATATTTCTACATTCGTGCCATTTCGGTTACCCTTTCGGATCGTCTCTTCTCTTAATATGCTTACGTATCTTCATATCTTGCTACTTATTAAATATCATCTTAAAAGTATACAATATTCATTTATAGATGGTAGCGTTCTTATTATTAGATATTTGAAAGAAAGAAGCTGAAAGTCTGGCTGACGCATAAAGGAGATATAAGTATGAACTTTAATTAATAAAAAAATCTGATGAAATTTGCCCTTTAGCTCAATTTTACCACTATTTGTATCGTGCAACTTATATCCGTAAGCTATGCTGTTTGCTTTTAAAATTTAAACTGATTCACTTTAAGTATCGCATATGAGGTTATTGCAGACATAAAAGACAATAGAAGATGGTCCTCTTACCTTTCAAAAAACTTTTAAATTGGATCAAAAGAAGTATTAATAAATATTGTGATAAAAATTCAAAACATTCTATAACTGAAACTTGATATAATTTGAGGTAAACACAATTTTTCACCGGATTTTCATGTCCTTCAATTGCGAAAAAGAAATTAGCCGTTCCTAGTCCCTGCAAATGCTTTTTTAAGATTGAGGCTTGTTTTCAATGGCAATGGAATTCGATGCAAATATGATTTGGTTAAAAATTCACATTTCAAAACAATGGAAACAATCCCGTAAAAAGCTGAGAGTTTAAACGTATGGTAATCAATAGCTGAAACTAAGTTAGAAATAGGCAAAATTTTAGAAAGAAAGTAACGCGTTTAAAATTATTCGGCAGATTTCTATGAGAAAGGATGAAACGTTTGTCTTTTAAGCTCACGCGATTTCCATGTCTATACAGCACGTATTTCATCTTGTGTATAAAAAAAAGAATGCAATAAAAACAATACATTCTTATATACTGTAGCCATGTGTATAAGAAGTGCGACTAAAGCTAATCCATTGGAAGCACGCCGACTAGGCTGCAGTCAGTCCATCGCTTCCCTATGCCTTTCTCTTTCTCCGCTACTTTCTAACTATCACCCTGTTACATGTGCAGGGAATATATTCTAAATGATAGGTCACACTAAAAAAAAAGAGAGGTTCTTCGATGCTTTACGTGTTCATATCAAAAAACGAAGAAGCCGAGATAGACGATTAGCAATTAATGAAAAATGTCCCTAAAATCTAGCAGGTAAAGGATAACCAGGGAAATCCGTAGGGTTAGAGAAGAGCAAAAATATCAAAAGTAAGAAAGTTATATTCCGCGGGGACCGAATCTCGCAAACCCAGCACTATGCTTCTCGCATTCTACTCCGAAAGTTCTTTTATTTGATATCAATAACGGTGGTATTATTAAGAAAAAATTAACCGCGGTGTCCATCGTATTAATTTCAAAATCAATCCATTTTGAGGCATATAAAAAACTTGATTTCAGGAATGTACAAAGCAGTTTTAACCGTTCTGTCTTGTTTGCGTTATGGTAAATGGGCATAAAACCTCAAAAAAGTGAAAATATTAATATTTAATCACTTGTAACGTTGTGTGAGCATGGCCGATTTTTTCTTTCTTGGTCGTAAAGAGTAGAGTTTTGCGTAAAGTAAATGAGGAAAATTTCTGGCCCCTAATTTTCATAGTTTCTGAGAATCGCGTAAAAACCTACAAACTTTTGTTAAGAAAAGCGGAGTTGCCTTCAGTTTACGCTTCAGCGCGGGCTTCTGCTGTGACCGAGGCGGACAGACATGGCTAAATCAACTCAGACTTTCACGCAGAATATATATACTTTATAGCGTCTCTGATGCTTCAGTTAGGGTGTTACATATATTAATGAAAATGAACAAAATTAGTACAGTTCCATCTTACAGTGGTGGGTATAAAAATGAACTCCGACCTGAAAATTTTATTTGTTTGGAAGGTTCGAGAGCAAAGGATTTGGTCAAGTCGGAAAATCTGAATCGTGGCCTTCGAAGAGAGAAGTCAATCAAGTACGAGCTCCATTAAGCGAAAGGTGTCGTGAAATGCTAATGCTGGAACTTTAGTTCAAGGGGTTTTTTTTGTAAACGTTGTTTTTTAATTCTGTAAACAAACTTATGTAAAACACTATATATGTGTGAAAACATTAAAAAGTAACAAAGCTACTCGCACGGCTTGGTATTATGAAACTTTAATTCAATACCCCGTTAGGCAATTTTCATGTCACAAATTTTTGATTATTGCGAGTATGTTTGCTAATCGATCACGATCACCGCAAGTTTCGGACAACTAAATCAGTTTTTGCGACCTTAAGCCTTCGAGAAACATAGAGATAAACGCACAGACCAAAACCGATTTAAAGTTTTACCATAACTAAAAGAACATAAATACAAAAATGAAGTTTTTGAGAAGTATTTTTGATTGTGATAAGTGGAAAGATCAATTGAGTATTGTCTCATCCTTTTGTATCGGAAATAGATATCAAAGTAAAGACCTTTGATTAAAACGTTTTGAATTTTCTTAAGGGCTTCATGTCTTGACAAAGGGAATAAGTACAGAAGACTGTAATCCTAGTAGTTATCAATAAATTCGTCCCGTCCTGAACATGAATTCTGAATCGGTTTTTTCTGTAAATATTAATTTTATTTGGTATTGAGTGCATTTGTTTAATAACGAACACATATATATATATATATATATATATATATATATATATATAAGTAAGCGTGTGTAAATATATATAAAAACTATTATGTTTTATTAATTTATTATGTATTTACATTACAATGCGAAAAATGATCACGTTCCCAAACTGAAAAAAAAAATAATATTTTTATTATTATTAACGAAACCTTTAAAACAAAATTCACTTACTTTTGCCAGTCATGCAATTTTCTCGTACCATATCGCATTGACTATAAAAGAACTGATGCTCGCTGCGGTAGGCCGCGCACACTGGGATATAGCTATCGCATTCATTTAAAGCTGAACAACTTGAACCTCGTACTGACCAAACTACCAGGCCTAAGATCATTGCTATTGCTAGACCCAGTGGTAGTAATATCGATAGCAATTTCGACATTCTTTTAAATGTATTATCTATATTAGACTAATATAGATAGGGAGAATGACACAGAGAGAGAGAGAGAGAGAGAGACAGAGAGAGAGAGAGACAGAGAGAGAGAGAGAGAGAGAGAGAGAGAGAGAGTGTGTGTGTGAGAGAGAAAGAGAGAGAGGGAGAGCTATTTTTAACCAGACACTTTCGCGCATTTATGCAAATTATTTAGTTAATTATCTTTAACAAGTGCACAAATATACGCGTGATTTCCACTTAATTTCGCTCGTTTTTCGTTTTTCCCCAAAAATTCACGTCCCTCTTTACTCAAAGCTCGCTTATCACTGCTTTAGCAAAATAAATTATTTTATACACTATCTGTCAGTCGTTATGACAGCCAACGTTCAAATTATTATTTAAAAAATTGCTTGTATTGTTGTTTTTTTTTTTTTTTTCTATTAAATTCAAACTAATGCCTCACTGCTACGCAAATCTACCCATTAAACACTTGTTTAAATAGAAAAATGCGAAAAGACAAAAAAAAAAAAGCTTATTTGACTGCATTCAGTGCGGTTATAGGGTAACCATAGTAACTAAAACAACTTGACAATTATCATCAATTGAATGAGGCTCGTAAGCGCTTAAGCTGAAAGAAAAAAAAAAAAAAAAAAATAGAAAAATATTCATCAGCAATAGTAAAAAGTAGTTTACGGTAGCCGAATTTCGAAACACGATGCTCACTTAGATGGAACAGTGCTTTTCTCTACCCCGTTCAAAGCTACATGTTCAAATCCACAATCGTTCGCTTCAGCAGGGGCAAGTCATCGCGCTTAGAGCTATTATATTTCATAAACTTCATAGGTTGCTTCTCCCACTTTACTTTTTTATTTCCTCATCGTTTTATTCAAATGGCTCACAGCAAGTAACCTGATTCATCATTCGTTTATCATGCACATTCACATCCGTTACTGTCCAGAACATAATTGCAGAGATTTTTTTTTATTATTGTTTTATTTACTTGATTTCATTTATGATTGTTATATTCAATTTTTTTCTGATGTTTTCGTTGTTTATTCTCAAAGAGCTATTGTACGTTGTGCAGCAATTTGATCTCAAATATCAATTTGTATAATTAATTTATTAGTTTGTTTTCAATCTGTACACTTATCCCTATTTATTAACAGGGATATGTACAGGTCACCCACCCATTCATAACTTTTACAAATGTTGTGTGAAGAAAACAGAACAAACGAGTGAGTGAATTGTACATATTATACAGTTACGATAGATCGCTTCATTGGCTTAGCTTTCCAACTTAACGAAGATTTGATCATTTTCGTATCTTCACCTTAACTTTCATTTCCCTAGCTTTACCTTATCTTTCCTTTAAAATTCCTTTATTACATAATTTTTCAATCAGTGCATTGTCCTGAAAGATGACACTGAGATGACACTGGATTCGATAAGTAGGATGACAGATTTTATATCTATTCACTTCGCTTTCATTAAAGGAAGTCTTATTGTAGTTTGTCGGACTTTATACATTCTGCGAGATTGAAATGTAATCTGTATTTGTTGTATTTATGTTTTTTTTTTTTTTTTGCTCGTTATTAAATATCATCTCACTATCATCACTATTGTCAATACGTATATGAGTAAAAGCGATAATTTTCATCAATTAACTAGGCTTTTGACATCGATAGATCCATTTTATTGACTAATAAAGTGTTTAGCTATACAATTTCTCTCATTAAAAGCAACAATTTTGCATTATTTAAAATTTCATTAAAGACTTTCAAGAGAAAGAAAATCAATCGGCATTGATGTGTAAGCACATTTGTAAATATTCATATCATTATATTCATTTTTACTGTAGCATGGAAAGAAGTTTACTGTATGATTGAAAAATTTAACTAAACGCGTTAATATTATATAAAATACAATACCTCTATTCTGTAATGGAATATTCAAAACAAGAGGGAGAGATATTATATAAATATTCAGAAAATATTTTAATTTTTTAACCCAACGAATTGATGTTAGCAGCATTTTCCTGGCGTTAAATTTTTTCAATTGTAATTGACATACGTAAGCGTTGAGCAGACTTGATTAACATTGTAAAAATATTTCCTATAAAATAGGTTAACTGTTCAAAAGACTGGAAAGCAATGCATTGTAACCTATTATATTTAGGGTGTTGTTGGCGCTCCAGTCTTTCCAATTAACTAGACAAAAACGACCTGAGAATTACAATTCTGATTTTGCTTTTGTATGCCTATTGTTAGATGATACATACGTACGGCAGCAGAATAAAGTCTACGTACAATATTGGAAATTAAGGCTCCTTTTACTAAAAACAATACATATGGTTTGAGGATCAAAAGATATATTTCTTAAGACATGAAAGCTTATGTTGGTTAACGCTTCAAGAATCTTTCTGATTTAAGATAAAATTATAAGCAAAAAATATACCTTAATCCCATAAAAAATCGAAAAAGTTTGCGTACAGCATCACTAGGAGTTTCGAAAAAGGCAATCTTTAGTTAATCGTAGTTAGTTTTTCTTCTTGGTTTCGCACACCTAAATAATAATTTAATCAATTAAATCTCTTTATTTCTTTTTCTTAAAGTATCACAAAATGTGCGAAACCACAAATAAGTTTCTCAAAAGATTAGAAAATTGATTATAAAGTTCAGAAGCGACGGAAAATCGTATGGAAAAATAGAAACAATAATTGGAAATAGTCGTGTTACAGTAAAACTAAACTATTATAAGAAATTACAATAACTCAAATAGCATAGAAACTCAGCGTAAATCGAGCCAACCAAACAATCTTACAAAGCTTGAAAATCGAAATGAAAAAACCACTTATAAACCAAGTTAATGTTGTTATGGAATTCGCCTTTTTCTAAGACACAGTCCGTATCACTGGACTTTTGTGCAAGAGAAATACACTCCATAATTCTTTTATTGACAATTATATTTCTTTAAATGTAGGATTACTTACAGTTTATTTTTAGCAACACTTTCGACTTCTTAACTTCAATATTCTTTTTCTACTCTGTTGACTTTCACAAATATTCTATGTATATACATTTTTACCACCATATTACTAGTACCTAATTTTATGACTTGTTTCTCAATTCGTTAACCTGCTTTTGTTGGTAACCGTTTTCATCGGCCTGCAGCGCCTGCGAATGTGCCTTTGGTTTCTTTTCTCTTTAAGGAGTTTATTCTTTGAGAAAATGACTTAGCTAGAATGAACATTTGGGATTTCCGTAACAATATGTTAATTTTTAGAAGGCCATAACTTTTAATGACGGGTCGTATATAGACTTTTTTGTGTCTTTTATAGGATTAAAGATTAGTTTGGTTGTAACTTTTTCCTAAATCCAAAAAAAAATTTTAAAGGGTTATGTGATATAGGTTTTCGGATCTTAAGATATATATTTTTTGACCCTTAATTCATGCATACAGGTTCTAATAAGAGAAATCTCAATTTTCGATAATGTATTTATACTTTATTGGGATACTATATATGGTTACTTTTTATGTGTAAAAATGTAAAAGGAAAAAAGCCACGTCCCAAATGCGTAGTTAAGATTAGTAAATGGAGTATAATAGTTATGAAAACAAATTAAACGTCATAAAAAAATAAATATTTTATTTCGAATATCATAGTGTTTTATAAATCTGCTATTACGTTCAACTATCATCGAGTTAGTTCAGCGCGAGCATAACAAATGCAGAAAGGTAGAAAAATTTTTTAATTTCCGATCGAGGTCTTAACTATCGAATTATTTCCTCTGGTAAAAACATTGCAATAATTTTACTCCTTTCCTCTTGTCCTTTTCCTCTCGTTCTTTCTGTCGCCCTTGTTCTTTTAAGCTCTTCGTTCCTGCCTTCGTTTCCTTTGTATCTTTTTATTACTATCTTCTTGTTCTCATCACTTTGATAATCGTAGAACGAAATTACAAGCTACAGGTCACAGCTATATTATAAGACAGTATGATCATTACTTTGCAAGACTTGGCCTTTCATGCTACGTAGATGTGGAGAAGAAACATTGCGTTACAAATCGATGGCTACATTAGCAAAATTCGGGAATTTGAGGTTCGTGTTATCGCCCCAATCACCGTATTCTGCGACTGTAGCTCGTAGCGATTATTATTTATCTGCAAATTTTCATAGAGTGCTTCAGGGATTCATATGACGAGTCCATTGAGGAAATTGAACCGTAGTTTCGAGATGTTGAAAAGAGAATCGAAGTTTCCAAGAAACTTGAGTCTATATGTATCGCTTCTAAACAAGGCTATGTTGATGAATAAAGTAGGATTTTTGAAAAAAAAAAAAAACAAAGATCTATCTTACTCACGATTTCGGGAATTATTAATCGGCGGGTTATTTAGAATTGCGTAACGAGTTTCGATTTTTTCTATTTTCCTTTTCCTAAGATAAGTAACAATTTTCTGTTACGAAGTCGGCTGAAACAAGCGAATTTAAGCGTTATATCTCTCATATTAAGTTTTTTGAAGGTTCTGGTGCTTTCAGATGCATATCGCCGCTATGTGCGAAGCTTTATAAGAAAACTTTGCCTACTTATTTGTGTCTTTTATATAGGAAATATCTTATTGGATATTATGTAACAAGTCGAATAAAAACTGTTACTCCTTTAATCGTAGAACTTCTTCAACAAATTAATTGACTTGGCTAGTTATCGTTTTACTTTTCCATTTGTCTCGAAGCCTCGCGGAAAAGAAAAGTATAGGTACAGCTCGGAATATACCAATTGTTTAAACACAAGTTCTTATTTATTGAAGCGTTATCGGCAATTTGTGTCACAAAGCACGAAATATTTTATTCATATTTATGTTTAAAACAATTGATAATTAATATTTTTATGTTTGCAATTTCCTATAGACTTCAATAATAAGATTTTCATGCTCAAACAAACTAAATGGGCCTTATAAGGTTTACGTACGGGTAAATGTACAAGCGCGTTGTTGTTGTACTGTTCTATTTTATGCGAAGAAATTTTGCAATTTCTCTTTTTTACTGTGTTAAGGCTTTTAAACGCGTTTAAAGTATAATTAATTATAAAGTGTAAAAGTGTATTAATTAATTGAATTATATTGATTGTTTTGGTTTTTGCGATCAGCGCTTGTGCTCTCCGTAATAAGCCTTCTTCTTGTTTTTTACTTTTTTTTGGCAAGTTTACAGTTTTTCCTCTTGGCTTGCTCTTTATTTACTGTCTTTTTAGTAGTGCGAAATTTACGTGCAGTGTGAGAGATACCCCTTCAATCTCTTGTCTGTTATTTTTTGACATGGGGTGTTTTTTACCTCATGTCGAACAAAACTGGGCTCTGAATCTGAACAATTCGTCACCTGTTGGCTTTGCGAACGCTTTTGTCATGCAAAGCGTGCAGGTACCAATGGCTCTTTTGTCGATGCAGTCCTTGATCCTTCTAAAGGTGTACGTTTGTCACGTCCCGACTATAGAAAGCGGAATATTAAGTTTTATAAACTGGTCATGTAGACAAGAATTGGATTTTCTGAAGTAAATCTCGTTACTTTGTATGCGGAGTTTGAAAAACTCAAGGAAATGTGCAAGGAGTACTGTTATCTGAAGCACTCATCTTCTTCCCC